TAGGCACACACCACCATGCTAACTAAATCTATTTTGTTTAAACAGGAAAAGGAAAAACAAACAGAATTTATTGCATGCCTAAGGAATGAGAGTATTAGATGCCTAAATTTATTTTTGTGCTTTGTTGGGGTTTTTTTGTTTTGGTTTGGTTTGGTTTGGTTTTTGGTACTGGAGATTGAAGTAGGGGCATTCAACCACGGAACCACATCCCCAGCCCTTTTTTGTATTTTATTTAGAGACAGGGTCTCACTGAGTTGCTTAGGTCCTTGCTAAATTACTGAGGCTGGCTCTGAACTCCCAATCCTTTTGTCTCAGCCTCCCAAGCCTCTGGGATTACAGATGTGTGCCACCACACCGGGCTCATGCTTTTTTTTTAAAATTGATTGTAGTATTCACTCAGTATTACGAGGCATATATTTTAAACTGTCTTTTCACTATTCGTTCTTATCCTTGTGAGCAGCAACACATTGATTTGTAGGGCATTTTTCAAGGACAAGGATACAATATTTGGCTACAATATAATAAAATTGGCCMTTGTGTGAATTAAAGCTCAATCTGGGCTTGTTTTATCCTGTAGTCTAACCAGTTAATTGCTTGTTCTTATTGCTAATTGCTTTTTCCCTGTGATTCAATAGGACACCTCTGTGTTATCCTCAAAGAACTGGCTGCTGACCTTACTGCCCCTGATAGTCAGGTGGCTGCATCTACATTTTTACTTCCACCTCTTTGTCATCAGGATGATCTTTTGATATTAAGTCCTTTGCTACAAGAGACTGACCATAGATTTATTGAAGAACAGGTATGACCGTTTTTTTAATAACGCTTGAATAGATTCAACTGATGAACAATGATATTTTTTTAAATCCTCTTTTTTTTTTAATCCTCATTTTAGCTCCTGCTTGGTAATGGGGGTGCCTGTGGAAGTCTTGAATATGACCCTTATTCTATTTATGAGAAGGATGTAGAGGGAGATTCTGTGCCTAAGCCCCTGCCTCCTACACTATCAGTTATTAGCTCTGCAGCAAAGCTCTTTGGGATTGTCTGTGCTCATGTGGGAGAAGCTCAAAGGTAAATCTCTTCACTTATCCTAACATAATATATAACTGGTTCAGTGAATGCATTGTAGAGAACTAACTGGTGGGTAAGAAGAATGTTGTCAGAAGATCTTATTAACATAGAAGATTTCTCATAAGTGACAAATGAAGGTGAGATAAAGGTTCTTCATTTGACTAATACTAAATAAGGAATTATTAAATACCCCAAAACACTAGGTATTATTGTGGATACAGTTCTTTACCCACAGTTAGCTTATAATGTAGCTGAAAATACAAATGGAAAGGTCATCAGTGACAAAAGAATATTGATTTATGAGCAATTGCTACCTTTTTTTTTTTTTTTTTTTT